CCACATTGATCTGGTCCCAGAGGCGTCTCTTCCCAATCGCCCTCATTATCGCATGAGCCCGACTGAGCACGAGGAACTGAGGCGCCAGGTCGAGGAGCTTCTTCAACGGGACGTGGTTCGTAAGAGTATGAGCCCTTGTGCGGTCCCGTCCCTTCTTATTCCAAAGAAGGACAACTCGTGGCGTATATGTGTCGATAGCCAGGCCATTAACAAGATTACTGTTCGGTACCGTTTTCCAATCCCACGGTTGGACGATTTACTGGACCAGCTTCATGGGGCGTCAGTTTTCACCAAGTTGGATCTCCGTAGCGGCTATCATCAAATTCGTATTCGCCCAGATGACGAGTGGAAGACAGCGTTCAAGATTCATGAGGGGTTATTCGAGTGGCTGGTGATGCCATTCGGCTTGTCAAATACGCCTAGCACGTTCATGCGAGTGATGAACCCTTCGCTTCGAGAGTTTATCGGCCAGTGTGTCGTCGTTTATTTCGACGACATTCTTATATACAGTCGATTGGTCGAGGAGCATCTCCAGCATGTACGGTCGGTTTTACTGGTTCTGCGGGCTGAAGCGTTCTTTGCTGCTCCTCGTAAGTGTTGTTTTATGGTGTCTTCTGTTTTGTTTTTGGGCTTTGTGATTTCTGCTGAGGGTATTCGAGTTAATGATAGCAAAGTGGCCGCTATTCGTGACTGGCCTACCCCGACTACGTTTACTGAGGCTCGTAGTTTTCACGGCCTCGCCTCATTCTATCGGCGCTTTATTTTCCACTTCAGTACCATTACGGCTCCGATCACTGACTGCCTCACTGGTACCTCTTTTGTGTGGACTCCGGCGGCTGAGGCTGCTTTTACTGCGATTAAGAGCAGGTTGACCTATGCTCCTGTGCTCGTCTTACCTGACTTTTCCAAGGCGTTCGAGCTTTCCTGTGACGCCTCGAAGGTAGGGATGGCAATGGGTGACAAACCCGCTGGGGGGACCTCCCCGTCACCCGCCCCCATTAGGGAAAATACCCCCGTCACCCGCCCCATCACCCGTCTCGGGTCCAGATTTCCCCCAGACCCGGCACCCGTGTGGGTGACGGGTACCCATCGGGTGACACAGACCCGATTACACTCAATAAAAGCAACACAATGACACAAGAGGAAGAGCAAGAAGATGAGATTTCCTCTTATATATCTAGAGTTTAGTAGTGTTGCTGCCTGGTGAGTTCTTTTGGGCTGGGCCAAAACATATATTGGGCCAATTTATATTGGGTACATTATACCCATGGGTTAACGGGTATGGGGAGAGGGAGAACGGACCCATCCCCGCTAGACCCGATGGGGGGACTTTTTCCCCCATTAACCTATCCATGGGGCCAAATTTTAGCCATACCCAGCTCCTAATGGGGTTTTTACCCATCGGATTTCGGGTTTCGGGGGCCCATTGCCATCCCTAACAGTGAGTAGTAAAAAGGGCAGTAAATAGTAAGGCATTCAATTTCCAAACACATACCAAACACATTAAAACCCTACCCATCTTCCCGCCCCTTCTCCATCCCAAGGCACACTACACTAGACACCGCCACTCCAAATGTCAGTCTCCGCCGCTTTTGACCGGACTCTTTTCAGAGACAAGGACGGCGGCGGCGGTGCCGGAGGCGACACCATCGTCAAATACCGATTCTTCAGCTTCTTGATCTGGCAGTTTCTCCAATCGACCCTCCTGCTTTTCCTCGCCAAAACCCTCTTTCTTCTCCCCTTCACCCAAAACCCTTTCACTCCCGTTTTCCTCTCCCTCGCCTCTTTCGTCTCCTTCCATTTAACTCTCCTCCTTCTATCGGTTTCCCTCTTCTTTGTCTCGTCTCCTCATCCTCTCCCCT